GAGGCGGATAAGGCGCTGCTGAAATGGAGTCAGCAATCGGACATCAAAGTTTTCGAGGAGGCGTCCAAGTATGTGCATCGGGTGATTGTGCGGACTCTCATGGGACAAGATTTCTACGATGAACACGTAGACGAACTCTACGATCTTGTGCACCGGATGGAGGACGAGATTGGCCACCCACTGAATCTTTTACTGCCGGACTGGTTTCCTCACCCGCCAGCACGACGACTGGGCAAGGCCAGAGATCGTTTCGCTGAGATCTTCGCCCAACAGATGGAGATCCGCCGCCAGAACCCTGAAAGATGGAAGGGCTCGCTGGACTATATCACCTATACACTGGAAGATCCACGAACGGCCCATCTGCAAGAATACTATCCGTCGCACCATACGGTGCTCATGTTTGCCGCCCACACGAGCACTGTGGCCAGCATAGCCTGGACTGCTCTGGAGGTTTGTTTGCTCAATGCCTGCTATTATAACTCTCTTCCAGCCCATTAGTATCACCAAGCTGACAGTATTTGCAGCTGATCCGAAACCCAGAGTACGTGGAGGCCATCCGGCAATCTTTTCAAAGTAATGAGGACGTTCACCAGTCTCCTGTACTACTGGCATGCGTCAAAGAGAGTGGTCGTCACTACTCGGGTGTGCACATGTGGCGTACGACCCATCGCCCTGTGCAGCTGGAGGATGGCTATATGGTTCCCGAGAACTGGGTAGTGTGTACCTCGCCCTATCTCACCCACCATGACCCCGAGATCTATGAGCAGCCGCAGCAGTGGCTGCCGGAGCGCTGGCTGAACCCAACGGCGCGCCTGCAGAACCTTAACAACGCCACCGACGCGGCATTCCTGCAATTTGGCGCGGGCTCCCATCGGTGCCCTGGAGAGAATATGGCCGGCATAATCGCGCGTGAACTGGTGTCGCGTCTGGTCAAGAACTACGATTTCCAATGGGGAAGCCAAGGGCCGGCCAAAATCGATGTTTCTCGTATGGACTTTAGCAAAGTCGGCAGTCCTTGGCTTCAAGGCGATGCGCGCATTCGCCTCACGCCTCGGAAATCTGCGTCCATGTGAACGAGTTGGCGTTGTGTAGGAGTGGAAGGGGAAAGCGGCAGATTGGATGCTATAGTGATATGTGCTTCATTTTTAGTACGTAGTTGCTTTACCTAGTTCAGTAATTGATTCTATCTGGTACCTGTCGAAGTATTCATCCCTACGTTAAAATGTCTTGTAAAGCCCCTGCACTTGCTTGCGACGCTGGTGCTGGTGCTGTTGCTGCTAGACCAGAACAGAAACAGAATGTAGAACAGAGCACTTCTCATTGACACTATTGCTCTAGTAAGGGATGACGATAGTCAGACCCTTACTACACTCATGTTGGGTATACCAGAGGGTTTAGAGCTTATTTTGATGAAAGAATGTCAAGCGAACTTTGGTTAGGCCTCACCGGCCACCGCTAGTTTGGAGTCTGTTTAGTCGTATCTTCGGTTGTCCTTTTCGAGTCGACAGATGCAAGGCACCGGAGTTGAAGGACATGGATTTACCCCTTCTGGGTGTTACAGTGCGGATCACCATTGTTTACCATATCCTGCAAAGAGTGGCAGAACTAGGTCTGCATGCAAACAACAAAGATAAGGAACTCGCAAGACACTCGAAAGAGGGTCCTCTCTGGGCACTGCGGCCATCTGCACCTGTTTTGCCGCCGCATTGCAAAATCTACAAGAAATGGAAACAATACAAACCTGCTAAACTTGTAAGGGCATTGTGTGTGATACTTAAGAAGTACCAGCAGATTGCGATGAACAAAACCCAGACTCCATCTTCACCAACAGTCCAATCAAGCGGTTGTTAATCTTCTTCCCTTGGCTTATCATCTGGGCTCTCTTACCACCACTTTCTCTATCCCTTTTCTTTGCTTCGCCGTATATCCTCCGTTATCTTTCCTATTCCCTTTGGCTTTCTATCTCTCTCTCATCAGGGCATCATCGCACAATGGCTCCTAAGGCCGATGTCCAGGTCCTAATCGTCGGCGGCGGCATTGCCGGGTTGACGCTGGCCAACATCTGTAAGAAAATTGGGCTCAGCTACAAGGTGTTCGAGCGTACTGCCGAGGTAACCCCCGTGGGTGCAGGCATCTCGCTGGCTCCGAATGCTCTCCGGTTGCTCGACCAACTCGGCTTCATGGACATTATTCGGAAGGAAGGCCAGCCGCTGCGAAAGATTCAGGTCTATCGCAACACTACCCGATGGAGTCTACTTGACTTTGAATGGCTCGAGCCAACATATGGCTATTCAATGTACTCGATGCCCCGGCACAGCATGCACCGTGCCTTGTACCACCGGGTGGATCCGGAGCACGTCATCCTGGGAGCTGAGGTTGTTGGCATTGAGGATGAGCCCAACTCTCCGACAGTCAAAGTTCGTCTGGCCGATGGCCGCGAGTTCAGCGGTGAGGTGCTCGTGGGCGCCGATGGCATTCGGTCGATCGTCCGGCGGCTCCTTGCCGACAAGCAAGGGCTGGCAGGCGTCAACACCATCCGGTTCACTGGGCGCACCCACATGACGGGCATATCCTATCCGCTGGAGCATCTCGGACCTAACGATCTCGGCGTGGCAACCTGGGTTTTCTACGATGACTGCATTCTCACCTCTTGGCCGTGTACCGAAAATCGCCAATGGTTTGTCGGGGTCAAGGTCCGTCACTCCCTTACCTCCCCTCCTCCTCTTCTAACTTCTCCTGTCTCAGCTGTCATCAGTGAACTCGAGACTAATGATTGTAATTGATGGGTTAGCCCTCCGAAGCCAAGACCACCACACGGTCCACTTGGAAAGGTGCCACTAAGGAAATGATCAACGAAAGCTACGGACACCGCTTCCATCCGTTTGGCAAGAATCACACCGTACGCGATGGCATGTCTCACTTGTTTCTCTGCTGCCCCCTCCCTTCTTCCCACCCACTCTTTCCCCTTTCACATTCTCCGAGAGAACCGAGTGACTGAGTGACTAACTGACTCACTCCCATCTGCAGTGGTCGATGTGGCGGAACGCGTGACGGCGAGTGATGTGTTTGAGGAAACCGCCTTTCCGAAGATGGCGCATGGCCGCGTGGCCCTGGTGGGAGACTGTAAGGAGCCAATCTGATCCTCGAAAGAGAAAGTCAAAATGATATGAATGGATCGGAGACTAACCCGACATTGTTTTGCTCAGCGGCGCACTCCATGACATCCTTCATTGGCCAGGTAAAACCCCAATTTCTGCGAGACAATTCCTTCCGCCAGGGGGAGGGGTAAGAGAGAAACACGGCTAATCAGTTTTTTTCCGCTGCAGGGCGCTTGCCAGGCAATTGAGGACGTGGGAGAATTGGCAAACCTGCTGCACACCTACTTTGCCGGCCAGTCGGGCAATCCGCAGGTGCTGCAGGACTTGCTGCAAGAATTCCGAAAAAGCCGAGAGCCGCGGGCTCGCAACCTCGTGTACTACTCCAGCATCTTCGCACAGGTGCATACAGGACGCCTCCCGTACGGGCTTGGGCCACTGGCACGCCGGATCGCCTTCACCTATGCCCCTGTGTGGTGCTGGAAATGGGCTTGCAATCCACTGTACGGGTACCAGCCGCGCGTCCACGCGCTGGATCTGTTGTCGCGGTAGAATTATCTTTTTTTCAACTTCGTTAGAAAGCATCATTAAGGCAATTGGACATCGATCTTTATATTTTACATCCGTCATAATAAAATCATTTTCTTATTCCTTTCTTCAGCCGTTCCAAATTATCATTCCATCTATGATGATTTCGCCCTCTTGGCTCATTTGATTTATTATAATTTTTTTTGTCTCTAGCAGGGTAATAAACCCATATCACCCTATTGGTGGGAAGTCTACGCAAGGGGGATGCAAGGGAGTAAGCCTACCGGAATGGTTCCCTGGTTCACACCCGAGACGCGCAGTATATGTTTAACTGGACTTGATGGTGTGAGCTGCTGAATAGGTTGAGAAAGAAACCTGTCAAAGACGAAGAGTAATAGTAGTCTGCCATAGACATAGTCTGCCTTCTGCTTAAAGCCTGTTTGTGGATAGAAGGTACCCAGCGATTGACAGGAAGTACTCTTTATATTTTATAACCACACAGAACGTAGGTTATTTTAATTTTATTGGTACTTACCGGGCTGACTTGATAGATATCTTGGGTTCGATTTCCTAGGTGTCTGTGCAGTGTTAAAACATATCTAACATAATACTAGTGGGAAGAACTGCGAATATTAAGATTATCTTGATTTCTGTAGTAGGAAGAAAAGAATGAATTCTATGATTCAGTTTATAGATGTTTATTTCTTCTATGAGGAGTAGATTTGCCTTCATGCTGTAAGACCCAAAAGTATTTATATATACTGACACTTCAAAATATATAATCCGGTTGACTTGTCGACTGATAGAGACAGCAATGTCATTCTGCATTGAATCTTTCGAAAGCATCGTTAGATGCTTCAAAAGTCTGTGAGAGGCTCTGGTACATGTCCTTGTTAAGTGGACGCTGATGTTGTGTGAAGCGTAACCATCCTTTCTTGTCAGATAGGCTTCTTGATTGTTGTATTCTGAATTCCACCAAGATTTCCTAAAAAGTCCAAGCGTGCAGAACTAAACAGTACTCTTGAACCTTGAGAACGTTATTTCATCATAGAGGCGACTAGATCTGTGCAAAACATTCTTGACTAAGAGGAGAATACAACTCACCGACGGCCTAAAGGCTCTGCTACCAATGCGACGACGTCTGAAGAGAACAACAGCATATCAGTCGTTCAAGATGGATCTCCATAAGACGATGAACCTAACTCACGTCCTAGCACTAAAACACATGATGCAATGACCAACAGCATGGATAAAGAGGTCATTATATCTTTACTCCATGTGTTTCCACACATAGTGTTTCTATTGGTTCTGAAAGACGAAGCAAGCACTAATCCTACATAAATCTTCAAAGAAATTCTATTATTATCATAATGCGCTGGGGAACGCAACGTGTTGTGCAACTGGAATAATTCCCCGCAAAAGCTATTACTGTTCGGCAATTTGGCTAAGTTGCAAACCGACTGCGACTTCGTAATGCCGGTCCAAACCAGTAGAGCACCAGCACTCCTGCAATACAGCCCACTGTCAAACCAGCCAGCAGGGTCGTGCCCCGCGCCACTCCCAGTCGAGCATACAACGGGCCAGACCACAGGATGGCCGCAAAGGCCAGACTGGCGCGCGCCAGATCGTTGATGGCAAACAGACTAGCGCTGTACTTGGGATACGCTACGGACAGGTAGCTGAAAATGCACTGCAGCACCAACGTCATGCCGGATACCTCAATCACCAAGCCGATGGTGGGTACAATCCAATGAATACTAGCCCGCGAGGTCCAGGCGAACAGAAAGAGTCCCACGGGGATAAACAGACTGCCAACAATGGCGGGGATGAGCCGGTGCTCGGGATGGGGAAATTGACCACGCCGGAAGGCCTTGTTCAGCGAGATATGCACAAAGGCATAGTAAAAGGGGAGTGTTATCAGCGTGCCAATCACGCAGCCGAGGAAGATTAGCCCCAGCTCGCCCAGGCTCATGTGGTAGATGTCCAGGTATACCAGCGGCAGCACCTCGAAGTAGGAGTAGAAGATGGCGTACACTAGCCCAATGTAGACTGTCGTGAAGAGCACGGACGGGTCTAGTGCGTTAACTTTCCATGGAATAACTAGTGCATCGTAGGCAACCTGCATGGGGCTGGCGTTCTGCGACTCAATTTCCGACCGCGACCGGATGGCCGTGTTGCCCGTAAGCTGGCGCAACCGCTTGGCTCGCAAGTGTAAGATGGCAGGTGCAGATGTTTCCGGGAGGAAGAGCTGGTTTTGGCAAGAAAAGGGAAAGGCGACGATGGTCAGCACAAGACATGTCCGTTAATGCCAACTATGGCCATCAATCACCACGAGGGTAGTAGTGAGTACATACCAGGGCCACGAAGCACAACGCGGCTGCCCATAGGATCTCCCACATGGACCAGTGCCAGCCCTTTACGGGAATACTGAATCCCGATATTGTCGGCGCTATGGCGGGGCCAGCAATGGAGCATGCTCCCCAAATATATAGACCATAGGGGAGGTTCGGGATGGAGGTCACATCTGCCAGAGATGCACCTCCCGTGGCCAGTCCGGGGGAACCGAAAAAGCCTTGCAAGTAACGCAGGACTAGAAACCCTGGCACGTTGTTGACTAGGGCTGTGGGGATTGCGAGAATGAGAAAGATGGTGACGGAGATCACATACGGTGGGTTGCGACCCACGGAGGGCACTTCAGACATGGGGCTCCAGATCATGGGCCCCATGCCGTAGCCCAGCACATAGAGTGCCAGCCCCAGGGCACTGACGGTTTGCGTTACCCCGAAGACAGTTTCGAATTCTCCCTCGGCGGCAGCGAAGTTGGCAGCGGCCATGAAGACCAGAAAGGTGAACAGATTTACTTCGACATACACCAACAACTTGGCCGCGAACGACCAGTTGTGCGGATTGTCTGGGTCATCGGGTGAGTACCAGTCCACCACAATGGTCCCCTCTGGCGTCACCTCGGGATCAATCCACGACGATGATGACTGCCCCGATGATTCGGGCGGTGTTGGGAAGGCTTCCCCTTGGATCCCATCAACTTCCTTGCACGCCTCGTCGGGGGGTAGCGCATGACTAAACAACGTACTTCCATCCGCATCCGAGGTATTCTTTTTCTCTTGTGATGGCTGGACTGGCCTGTCGTTGACTGCCTGCCGGTATGGCGTAGGCAAAATGAAGTCGGGGCTGAGTTCGCGTGGCTTGAATAGACGGCCTCCGGATACGAGGTAGGCGATCCTGCCAAAGGCCGAGTTAGCGAACAGGTGTGGCATGGCCGCTGCAGTGTCGGTGCTTGGACAGAGCAAATGAAGCACAAAAGCCCACAAGGAGGGCCTGACCTCAGTATGTACTTCACCGGCAAACTAGGGAGAGAGAGAGAGAGAGATACAAAGGGAGGAAAGGGGCGTGCAGTCGGAGCCTGAGCAGCTTCAGACCGCTTCCCTGCCAATTCCTCCTCTCTCCCCTTCAGCCCTAGAAGGAATGTAAGGGGGGAGGCGTTTCCGTGGCCGCAAAACCAGCTTCCCTTCCGAGGTATGCCAGTAATGATCGTCAAGGTTCCATGGTTGCATGGCCGGACAGGGATGGAACCGGGATGCCACCGTGTCTCGCGGTTGGCGTTTCCACTCCCCCTTCCCCAAAAAAAGGATGAGCTCATGGCGATGCAAAGCCCTACTGCGTACACGCAGGGAGGGCAACCGCCGGAAATGGCAGCCCTCTCCCGAAGGATGGAACGGGAGAGAAATAAGCATTCATATTTCCATATCCCTGCCAGCCGAATAATTCTGTGTGCATAGGCAACATTGACTGGAACAGCAAGCCTAGTAGCATGACTTCTCTTCCTCCAGCCCAATGCTGCATTGCTGGCCATCTGCACAGCGGTACCCCCAAGGGAGAATTGAAGAAAATAGATGACAGTAAGGCGCTTCCCTGCTCCAACTTGACTTCCTCAAGGTCTCATCCTAATGTACATGTCTCCTGCACAAGTCCTCACCTATGTGTCTTACCCTCCCGACAAATCAACTCACAATGCCATCCTGTTTCTCTCCGACATCTTCGGCCCCAAGTTGGTCAATTCCCAGCTGATTGCCGACCAATTTGCCGCTAATGGCTACTTCGTGGTCCTGCCGGATCTTTTCCATGGCGATCCGGTGCCCGTCGAGCGCGAGGGGAACTTCGACGTCATGGCCTGGCTGAAGAACCACCTCCCGCCAGTGACAGACCCCATTATCGACAGAACCCTTCGCTACATGCGTCAGGAACTCGGCTGCCAGCGCATTGGAGGGGTTGGGTACTGCTATGGGGGCAAGTATGTCGCTCGTTACCTTAAGCCCGGGCTCTTGGACGTAGGCTATATGGCCCATCCCACCCATGTAGAGGTGGATGAATTGAAAGGCGTTCAGGGGCCACTGAGCATTTCCGCCGCGTGTGAGTTCCAAGATCAACTTTGAGCCCAAAGGTTAGGGACTGACTTAACATAGCGTCGGATTACCTCTTCCCGACCGAGAAACGTCGCGAGACCGAAGACATCTTGTCCGAGCTGGGCCATCCTTACGAGATAACAGTATATTCGCACGTCGAGCATGGATACGCTGTTCGCTGCAACATGGACATCAAGCAGCAGAGAGTGGCCAAGGAGAAGAGTTTCGCCCAGGCAGCTGGTTGGTTTGATGCCTATCTAAGGGAATGAGCACGATGCCGGAAGCTGAAGGATAAGAGAACAATGGATTTTTGTATCTATTCTTCTAAAACAAGCAGGTCCAATGAATCTACTACAAGATAAGATACAAGTGCGCTGTATACCTATGTACATGTTGAAAAGAGCATCTCCCGGTCGACATCTTTCTTCAGGCCGACGCCAGGAGATCATTTGGGATATACAAGGGCATAGTGTCCTCCCATCGACTCTGCGTCAACACTGTCCAATTCGACCCATCCGCCTCCATCTGCATGATGAAAGGGTACGGTTGCTGATTGTTGTCGTAGATGGTCGCTTCGTCCTGGAAGCCAAACATGCCCGTCGCCCAGGCAATCTTGCCCTCGTGGGTCCAGACGGCGTGGGCATCGTTGCACGCCAACGTTGTCAGTTGCTTCACATCACTACCGTCCACGGCCATGGTCATGACATCGTAGTTGTCATCCAACGGTCCAGAGATGGGCCAGCTGGTGCGACGAGTGAAAACAATACGGTTGGAGCCATCGGGGGCGAACATGGGAGTGTTGTCCCAGGAAGAGCTGAGGGCCACCACTTCGCCCGTCGTCAAATCCATGCGGCGCAGACCCAGCGGGAGGGGATCCTCACTGGCGGTGTAGGCAAACTCACGCCAGACCAGCCAGCGGCCATCGGGCGAGATGGTGGGGAAGCCGGCGTTGGTGCTGCCGTTGGTCATGGATCGCGCCCACGAGCCGTTGGCGGCCACCAGGTACACCCAGCCTGGGCTGGCATAGCGATACTCGAACCAGTCACCCAGGCCGACGGCCAGGACTTCGCCATCGCCGCGCCACGAGCCCTGGAAGGTGCCGTTGGTGTTGGAGCTGTTGACGCGGGCGGGGAAGCGAGAGCCATCGAAGATGTCATTCGAACCGGTGCCGTCGGCGTTCATGGTCACCAGCGAGGAGTTCACCGTCTGCTGTGAGGTGTAGACCACCTTGCCCTGTGCGGACATTTGCGGGAACACGTCGGTGAAGCGGTACTCCCAGTCCTTGCTCCAGCTGTACAGCGGCTTGTTTACGGACCGGACAGGGTCCCACTCAACGTGCTCGTAGACCATATGGCGGCCATCGGGGGACCAAGCGGGCGAGCGATGATAGCCCACCAGCGAGGCGTTGCGGTAGGCGGCACTCACGCTACCTTCGGGCTGCGCGGCCGTGTAGTTGATCGAGCCCGGGTAGGTGGCATTGGTGAGCAGGCTCTTAACCAGGTAACCGATGGTCTGGTTGTCCACATACTGAGGAAACAGTTTGATGCCGCCGGACTCTCCCGACGCATGCTCCTGCCGGTCACTTCCCGTGGCAAAGTCAACGGACACGATGGCAGTGTTGACATCGTAGAAGGCGGATTCGGCCACACGCGCATAGTAGGTCAGCTCCATGGGAAGTTCATAGAAGACGATGCGGTTGCCATCGGGCGAGAATTTGGGCGAGCCTTGACAGTAACCTGTGCGATTGGACACTCGACGGAAGCCGGTTCCGTCCGGACGGATGGCGTAGATGGACAGTTCCTGTGTGTGCTCCCAGCCACTGATGTTGTTATGCCCGCGCCATGGAGTGTTGCGATCCGAGGTGAAGACCAGCCACTCGCCATCAGGCGACCACGCAGGCCGGAAGTGGCCATCGGGGAGGGTGTAATCACCTGCGACCTCGGTGGAGTTGGTGACATTCCACAATGCGCCAGTCTCCAGATTCTGGATCCAGATGTTACTCTTGTAGTTGCCGAGGGTGCCAGCAAAGGCCACCAGACTGCCATTGGGAGAGATGGCTCCGGCATCCTCCACGGCAGGGCTGGTGGCAATGGGCTGCAAGTCGGTGCCATCGGGACGGACACGGTACAGATCCGACTGACCATCTCCAGCACGCTCGCTGGTGAAGACGATCCACTCGCCGTCTGGAGACCACTGCGCATGGTAGTCAAAGGTGCTCTCATTGCCCAGCAGTCGCCGGGGGTTAGAGCCATCCGCATTGGCGACATAAAGCTCCGAGATGCCCGGTGCAATGCGATTCATCAGCATCGCCCCCTTCTTCCCGGCAACAGTCGTGCCGCGGGCTGCCAGGGTGGAGGGCTGCTCATCCGAGCGCGCCATATTGGCGTATGGACATGATGCTGCTGTGGCCAGCCCGCTCAGGAGAGGAAAGAATAGAAGAGAGGAAAGACGCATCTTGATGCGGTGCCAACTTGGCGGCTGCGAACTCAGTGATGCAGGAACCACAACATCCGGAGAATTTTGCAGATGGGCATGGCCCTACTTAAGCTTCACGCTGTTGTGGAGCGTCTCATTGCGAGAGCATTGATCGATAGGCTCTGGTGCTTGTTCGGAAGAAGTCCTCGGGCTTCGCAATAGCCTTCCCAATGGAGTAGGGACTGTCGCTGATGATTTTGACGAAGTTGGGCTCCCGTTATTGGCCTTCGGCTACACATGCCGATCACTCCACGGCCCAGACGGGATGGACATGCTTAGCAGTACCGCTTGGACAGCCCCTTCGACGCTTCAGCTTTGAGGGATTAGCATTGCCTGCTCCACCCCAGGGCAGACTGTGGTTGGGTCCTGCGATCCTGCCAAGGAGGATTGAGAGGAGAAATCCGGATCATCGCCGGAGATAGATTGGGAAGATGGAGGATGGCACCTGTAAAAACCCACTCTATACATATTCAGGCGGAGAAATCACTCACAGGGTACCCTTGTGGCTCTGGACTTAACGCGCTGTCAGTTGCTATGAAAACAAACGACACTGGGTGGAAGGGATAGGACGATGTGGATGTATCGCTTCCTCTTTGAGGTATCCCTCGCTTACAGAGTGAAGCTTCAACTGTCATGCTTATGGCTGGTCTCCGGCAGGATTCGGCTTGGCACACAGGATGCCACGACTATACTGTCTCCGGCCTAACCGCCGCCGAGACTCATTATCTGTATAGTATCTCCGACATCTTTCGGAAGCCTGGTTCGGAGATTGTTGGATTGGGGATTTCTGGCCGGTGGTCTTGGCAGCAGATAATTTCTCCGCGAGTCTCCGCATCTTTTCGTTTGGCTTGGAGAGAGGTCCGTGGGTTCTGGGAAGAGTGGATCGTTTGCTGGCTTATTTTGGGGTTTCTTCAAGGCTTGAGGTCATTCTTGTCCTTTTTACAGAGTTGAGATAGATTTTAAAGCCATGGGGAGTCTTAGATGGGGGGAGGGGATTGAAAAGCCTGATTGCAAATCGGACGCAGTGCTATTTGCTGGATGACTCGTTACACAGGGCCCCGACGAGTCCAAAGCGCCACACCGTAATCCTGAGGACGAGGCAGAGAGTCGGGCTGCCGAACCAGGGACCAGCAAATGGTCTCCGCTTAATCTTGCTAGTATTTCCAGTGGGGAGTGGAATCTTGAAGAAAGATTGGCTTGAGACTGTTCGGACCGCTCCCGTTCGGCCCTAGCTTCACCCTGAATGGTTGTGTATTACATTTACTCGAGGCCGGTGCTGAAGAAGTTCAACTTGCAACACAACAAGGGAAATGGTATGACAGACAGAGAGAGAAAGAGAGAGAGTGTGTGTCTGACTGAAGAAGAACGAGAATCCCTCATCTTTCTTTCGCGGACTTGATCCGATCCCCTCCAAAACGTAGTCAGTCTCTTCAAGTCA